ACGTGAATGACATGATGGGTTTCCGCTTGCGGCAACTACACCCCCCGTCAACGACCATTGTCTCTTCATGACAACCAGTCAGAATCATCCCACTGCGCTAATCATGATATATTTGACAGGCTTTTCAACTTTTTAAGGTAGAAGCTTTGAGGCTAATTGACTCCATGATCTCAGCCCGTTGCTTATGGTGTGGGACGAATCACACTTTCTAGAGCCGATGCTCCGATAAAAGAGCTGCACTTCGCAGATAATATCCCATGGTGTTGTCTTTGCGCAGTATCCTTTTTTTATCCTTCACAGAGCGATACTTGATTCTTGACGAACCACAAATCAGAGGCTCGAAACATGGCAGCGGGGTAAGTGATATGTCACCTATTCATTCCCTAACGCGCTGTTTCCGCCTGCCAAATGTGCTGTGCTGATTCATGGTCGTATTGGAATGTCTAGTGATGAAAAGAAGGACCAACAACTCTCGGACAATGACGGCTTCACAACGTTCGCCAAAGAGGATCCAAGCGCGAAGAATAAGAAGAACCAAGACTCCAACCTGAAGATTACCATTCATCTGGATCTAGTTGCTGAGGTCGATATCAAGATCAAGGCGCAGCTATATGGTGATATTGTGATTGGTTTGCTTTGAGCTGCTGGGATGACGACCTGTAACTAGTTTTAAGTGTGAGCTAAATCTGAACTTCTTGACTTGATCATAATTTTGTGTGTGCCTTTATCATATCAAAGTGCAAGATATTTTGAGAGATTGGCTAGCTAGCTGAAACACTTCACTCGGTGGTGAAGTGAGCGGAGTAAATAGCAGCGCAGCGCAGTGCACATCAACTAGTGTAATATCAAACCTTTAGTCCAGGATCGGACTTTGCGCGAGGCTTTGCGCTAGACTATGTGTAGAGTGGACATACTTCTGGCAATCTTTGATGAAGGCTGATATGTTCTGGCCGTTTCTCAAAATGGTATCCCCCACCATCCACTGACTCGGAAACACCCTGGTCATGTTGATCATCCGTCACTTGTCTGGTGATCAACCGCGTCATTTGCTAGTCGCCATTTTTGGTCTCTCAAGGATGTTTAGAAATCAATGGAAGAAACGAGTTAGGACTACTCATCCAATATTCGTTTCAATGAGGTTCACTTCACCAATGTAGTTGGACGTAGAGGAAGGGTGGAGCGGAAATAATGTTCCAATCAACTAACAAGAGGACCGTCACGTTATACGCTTGCCAACAGAAGAGACTGATTGCACATCATTGCGCCCCAAGGGAGAGTCGGCAAGGCAAACGGAGATGGGGACAGGCCTGCTAGCAGGATCATGCCTACTTTAGTTCCCGGGATCGATCAAATGCTTGCCGTTGTAGTGTGATGACAGTCTACTCCCATATGTGGGCTTTATTCAGCTGCGGATTAATCTCTTTAAAAAAAACCATAAGAATGTGTTTGGGTTCCGCAAATAGTAGCCTCGAAGCGAGCTTGCGAAGTTGTCACTGGTGGCCTTGTTCAGGGGAGTAGGAGGGACTCGTGTGGTCCACGGCGGATAAATAGCATGGCTGGGGCGGATGCGAGATGGGAGATAAACAAAGCCGAGCAGAAGTTGACGATGACGAATTAGCTCTCTCCATTTTGGGTTTTTTTGAAATTGAACTGTAGCAAAAGACTTTTAGGTAGCGAAGATTAATTGTAGTCGCATAGACGGTGCTCAACATATCAATCTATTCAGTGGATAATCTGGATACCTGCTACGTACATCAGTGAAACCTAGTTGAAGCATGGTTAGACTCACTTGGAGCTTCCTTCTCCAGTGACAGCCGCCGCTGACGAGACTAAGGTAACCCAGCTAAACTAGACGGAGCAGCAGACCTGCTAAACCTAAACCAACCTGCCGTCTGCCATCTCCTACCCATCTCCCCCTCCCTCTCGTCTCATAATTCAGCATTCCAAAGGTCGGACACAGACCTTGGAAGAATCAAGAGAATAATTACCTCATCAACTAGAGACCAAGAGGGTTTATCTCACCTTGTCTTCCCGTCCTATCACGCGACGACGTTCCCTACCCTCCCGCCCCTACCTCAGCAGCTAGCTCCAGGTGCTATATGCAAAGCCTCCCGTCCTTTCTGTCATCGCCAATCGACTTCCATTCACATCCTGCATCATCTTGCTCGACCAGTCGCATCCCCGGATCGCTTACATCCCCGCGAAAGCTCCCGGTCTGAAGGAGCGGAGATAGAGAGAACAACAAGGGGGAAACTACAGCTACCTTCCTTCTTATCTTGATCGACTGCCGTCCCTCACGCCTACCTTCGCTTTGAAACTGTCGCTTGCGAGGCCTTCTGGCCTCCCATCACCGAAGGTATGACTGCGATCGCAAACGCGTGTCTGTCCTGTCTATCGGCAGTCGACCGCTGGTGTCATATCACGGCCTGTCTCGGTCCTATCGGAGGTCGCGCGCGAGATGCAATTTACGAGACAACGCTAGCAGACAATGAGCGGGAGGCCGTATCCGACTTACTCGGTTACTTGGAGAACGTACGTCTAGCTTTGTCCGCCTATGCACCTGCGCTTCGCATCTGACATATCTATCAACGTACTCGGGCCTCTGTTTTGCTGTGGAAGCTGACTTTACTGCGTTTTAGCGAGCTGAAACCGACTTCTTCTCCGGCGAGCCTCTTCGCGCCCTGAGCACCCTGGTTTATTCTGATAATGTGGACCTTCAACGAAGTGCTAGCTTGACTTTTGCTGAGATAACTGAGCGAGGTACGTCCTGTCACTGTTGTAAAACCAGAAGTACGGACTGACGTTATTGTGATTGTCGCAGATGTGCGCGAAGTTGACCGGGACACGCTGGAGCCTATCCTCTTCCTCCTACAGAGCTCGGACATTGAAGTTCAAAGGGCTGCTAGTGCAGCTCTCGGAAATCTTGCCGTCAACGGTTTGTCGCTCAATCTCACATCGTCGAGTAGTGCTGATGGGTTGTAGCCGAGAATAAGGTGCTCATTGTTGCTCTGGGAGGGCTGGCTCCTCTTATACGTCAGATGATGTCGCCCAATGTGGAGGTCCAATGCAACGCGGTCGGTTGTATCACCAATCTAGCGACTCATGAGGACAACAAGGCCAAGATTGCCCGGTCGGGAGCTCTGGGTCCATTGATCCGTTTAGCGAAATCCAAGGACATGCGTGTACAACGTAATGCCACTGGAGCGCTTTTGAATATGACGCATTCTGGTAAGTTGGACCGTGGGATAGAACGGTTCTGAGCTTGGCTAACTACTCGCGAAGATGACAACCGACAGCAACTCGTCAATGCCGGTGCAATCCCTGTGCTTGTTCAATTGCTCTCATCCCCTGACGTCGATGTACAATACTATTGCACAACCGCCCTCAGTAATATCGCTGTCGATGCTTCGAATCGCAAGCGGCTCGCCCAGACAGAGTCACGGTTGGTTCAGTCTCTTGTTCACCTCATGGACTCTTCCACTCCCAAAGTCCAATGTCAAGCCGCCCTTGCACTTCGAAATCTCGCTTCCGACGAGAAATACCAGCTGGAGATTGTTCGTGCAAAGGGGCTTCCGCCTCTCCTGCGCCTGCTGCAGTCGTCATATCTTCCTCTCATTCTTTCTGCAGTCGCATGCATCCGCAATATCTCGATTCATCCTCTCAACGAGTCGCCTATCATCGACGCAGGCTTCCTTAAGCCGTTGGTAGACCTTCTTGGTTCGACAGATAACGAGGAGATACAATGTCACGCCATATCTACACTTCGCAACCTTGCCGCAAGCTCTGATCGCAACAAGGAGCTTGTTCTGCAGGCCGGTGCTGTACAGAAATGCAAAGATCTGGTCCTTAGGGTTCCTCTGAGTGTGCAATCTGAAATGACTGCTGCAATCGCTGTGCTGGCTCTCAGCGATGAATTGAAACCTCATCTGCTCAATCTTGGTGTCTTCGACGTGCTGATTCCCCTTACGAACTCCGAAAGTATCGAGGTCCAGGGCAACAGTGCTGCTGCCTTGGGCAACCTCTCCTCGAAAGGTATGTCACCAGCCATTGCTCTACGACTTTTTTTACCGCGCAAGTACTAATGAGCAGCAGTTGGCGATTACTCGATCTTCGTTCGTGACTGGGCTGACCCCAACGGCGGCATCCATGGTTATCTCAAAAGGTTCCTTGCAAGCGGTGACCCTACTTTCCAGCACATTGCCGTCTGGACTCTCCTTCAATTGCTGGAATCGGAGGACAAGCGACTCATCGGCTACATATCCAAATCAGAAGATATTGTACAGATGATCAAAACGATCTCGGACAAGAACATCGAATCAGACGAAGAGGATGGGGAGGATGGTGAGGCCGAGGTCATTGCGCTGGCGCGGCGATGTCTCGGTTTACTCGGAAATGGTCCAAAACAGACTCTTGTCGAAGGCTAATGCGATGCTATCCCATAATTGTCACCATCTATAACTGCTTCATTCCTTCTCGTTCATATCTTGACGTTTCTTTCTACCATTCTCAACACATCGGACCTTTACTTACCACAGGGTGCTAAGCGGGCATTGATTCGGTGTCTTTTATTACGCTTATTTCCTTCGTCAGCGAGCATTTGGTGCGTTTATGGATTCCCGCTAGAATTCTCATCCATAATTGTCTGTTCGTCTATAGTTTTCTTTCAGGACTGTCACGCTTATTTTACCCTGCTTGTGCTGCACATGAATACTGTATTGATGCTAGAGCAGATTTAAAGGTCATAATACTTTGAATCGCAGTATACCTAGATTTAGTGAGAAACAATCCATTTCATCAATTTCCCATCGATTTGTTTATGCATCCGAGACGGCGGTAGCTAAATTGCTATAGGCCGGGGAAATCTCCTTCCGAGCCGGTCTCCGCAAGACGCAGCAAAAATTACTCCGTAGCTTCCAATCTTCCTCTTCCAAACCAAATTACAACTTCCTTTTTGTACCTTGGGGAAGAGGATTGCCGCTTCTTACTGCAGCTCAGTTGAGATGGCGACCACTCTACCCTCCTTGGCTATTCCAGGTCAGCGCTTGGCGCCAGTGTCCTCTTACTCTGCAGGACCAGGTACCCACGTGCAGAATGCCAACATTTATGCATCCATTGCTGGTCCAGTGGTTGTCCAACAAGCTCAACCCAGCTCCAAAGTAAAATCTATCGTCAGTGTCTCGCGGAACCTGCCAAGGAAGACAGACTCTTCTACCTCGACCACACCTGCAAAAACCACCTCTACCACTACGAAACCGAAATTGAGGTACAACACCCTCCCCGCTGTCGACTCAATTGTGTTAGCGCGCGTCACCCGTGTCCAGAAACGCCAGGCCACAGTCTCCATCCTCGTTGTGCTCGACGAGTCGGCCAGTTCCCAAACCCCCGATCCGTCGAAGACGGCTTCAGACAACGATAACATCGTCTCCATCCTCACTTCGGCGGCCAATCCTGAGAACCACAGTAGCTCCGACGAGCTTCGCTTCCAGGCACTTATCCGGAAGGAAGATGTGCGTGCTGTCGAGAAGGATCGCGTCGTGATGGATGAGATGTTCCGTGTTGGAGATATTGTGCGTGGTTCCGTCATTTCCCTGGGTGATCAGAGTTTCTATTATCTTACCACTGCACGCAATGACCTTGGCGTCGTCATGGCCCGTAGTGAGGCTGGCAATATGATGTTTCCCGTTAGCTGGAAAGAGATGAGAGACCCCGTCACTGGTGCTGCAGAATTGCGAAAGGTTGCTCGGCCGTTTTGATCGGGGTCGATGGTTGGATGACGCTTTGGGATTGAAATAAATCGGCGTCATCATCGAACTTCACCCCATTGATATTACCAGGGAGATTATCTCACCGACGCTCTGGGCCTTTTTTTCTGGTCATTCCAKAGCGAGATAGATCTCGGAAACCTGATCGTGCGAGGAAAATTCGCGATCCGCGGGGATACTTCGGTCCTTGAAGGGGCCATTGGACTATGCCTTTGTTATCACACCGGCATTTTGATTGTCCGTATAGCGGGTCGGAATACGTCGGCGCGACGTTGAGGAACAAGCATAGACATGAGATACCCATATTTTCAGCTTCCTCGTGAGCAATATCCTCCAGCATCACCGCCTTCGAGGCCGTTGGCATGGAAGGACCTATTTTATCTTACTCATTCTTAACTTTTCAGACGAGAATGAAGAGGTCTTTTCTCCAGTTTCCGATCCTGATGACATATCCTATTAGTTTATTTCTTCACCTCCCTAGTATCCATGGTTCTGGCCATCTCAATGCTGAGCTGTGTTTGTCACGGGAGGAAGATTAATGGTTTGTTCCGCGTGGAGGACTACTCATCTTCTACGACCCTCGCCTACTATTCCTAGTCCTTGATTGATGGATGTGGAAAAATCTCTTTCGAGGGCACAAATTTTGTATCTCTGCAGTATACATTTGTAAATGGTAGACTGGACTCTTTAGATTCCACAATCAAGTTCAATTCACATTTTATCACAATAACCACAATCTACTTCTTCAACGTCTTCTGCTTCTCCGCATCAATCAACTTCCTACCCTGGACGACCAACCCCTTCCTCCTCCGCACAGCATCCATATACCGTTTCGCCACATTCTCACGGTCAGCCAACTCTCCCAAGTCCTCCAGTTCCTCCTCGGTAGCCGGGACCCAGAACGGATCTTCGTCTAGGGCCTCGAAGCCCGCGAAGATGAGCTGCGGCTGTGCAGCACCCGATGTTCGTTTGCGGATTTCCTCAGCGAAGCCGAACGATTCGGCGACGGGGAGGAGGGCCAGGATGGTGAAGAAGGGAGTTCCTTCTTTCATTGTTTCGGAGAGGATGCGGCCGCGGCGGCGGGTGATGACACCGTAGACGCGGCCGAGGACCTCAGCTGTTGTAGCAGTGTTAGTCGGTGTTTGAGATGTGCAAGACGGGACTGAGCGACTGGGGCTGGGACTAAACATACTTGAAGCTTGGATCTCGCAACTATACATCGCGAGCATGATCCGGGGACTCCAGTCGAGGAAACCTTGGGCAATACTCTCGCGGACTAGTCGGATAACTTCGCCTGTCAGACGACCGAGGTCTAGTTCTTCGCCGCTGGCGTGGATGGATAGTTCTTCCAGGAATACGGCGATGCCTTGGATGGGTTCCTGGCAGAGAGGACCTTGGCCTGTTGCGAGCTGGAAGGCGTGCGCGATCTTGTCGTTGAAGTCGCGGACCGTCAGGGAGTCGCGGCTGCTTTCTTCGGTTGTAGCGGTGGGCTGCTGTTTGGGGTCGTCGAGCAGGCTGCGCCAGTTAGATTGATGAAGTTGTCAGAGAGGGTGTCAAGACTTACAATTTCTCACAGGTGTTTACCGCAGTGGCGTCAACCAAGATGTTCGGTCCAACCCGTCGAGGACCGAAAGCAGTGATTCGGTCAACGACATTTGCCCATAACTCTTTGTCCTCCTTGACTTCTTCGTCGAAAAGCTTGGTGAGTTCCTGTTTGAAGTCTTTCAAGGAAAGCTGATTGCCCTCTCGCGCTTCTCCAGAAGCATCACCGGACTCAACCTGTTGTGTGGTGTCCAACGACCCGTTGCTTGCTTCCGCGTCGGATTTCGCCTCACCCGCTGAGCGCTTCTCGGATTGGAGACGCTTAATTGTTCCAACGTTCTTGGAGATGAAGTCCGTTACGGCTTCAGGCAAGGGCACAACGCGCAGCTTGACAGTCAGCTGTTTCGAAGGAGAAACGGTCAGCACACATCCGCGGCCAAGTTCTGGTTTCTTTGGAGGTGCCATTTCCGGCGCGCTGACAATTGTTTCCCGGTATGGTACGATTGTCTGACCGGTCTGGATCTCGCATTTGGCAAAGCGCTCGCGGAGATCTTTTATGCAGCGCTCAAGATGCAATTCACCGGCAGTCAGAATCACATGCTCACCACTAGGGAGGACCTCATATTGTGCACATGGATCACTTTGTTCGAGGAGGCGCAGACCGGTGACCATCTTGTTCAGGTCTGCAGGGTTCGCCGGCTCAAGCGAAACTCTTACAATCGGTGGGGCGTTTAGCGAGACACCAGCCAAGTTGATACTACCTTCGAGCTGCGAGCAAAGAGTTCCGTTCTTGAGGACATGACCTGCAAGGCCACCGATACCGAAAATCACACCCGCGGGAACGGTCTTGAGCGGCTCCAGGCTCCTGCCCATAAGGAGATATAGATCCGTGACTTTCACCTTCTGTGGCTCAGGGTGTGCATGAGGATGCGCCGGAGAGAATTTGGGTGCCAGCACATAGACCTCATCACCAACAGAAAGGGTGCCTGAGTACAGTCGTGCAAAACCAATCAAGTGCTCCGGGTCTTCCTTCTCCTCTGGTTCCCCTTGTTCCTCGCTGTCATCCAGCGTGGTCACTTCGAACGCGGAGGTGATACGCGCGTAGTCGTCCGTCTCATTTAGATTTCCGCCTGCCTCCGCCTGCATCTTCGCAATCTCTTCTCGCTTCTTGCGTGCGATTTCACGGGCTTCGTCTGCCGACAAAATCGCACCGGAGCGCTTTTTGCTAGACAGTAGCTCACTTTCAGGGACTGCAACCATTTTACTGACATAGGCTACCACAGGAGCGTCTGTGCCTGTCTTGAACGCTACCATTGCTTCCTTGACCTTCTTGTCGACAAATTCAGCACCAGGGGAGCCTTCAATTAGTCCTGGTAGTCGAGTGGCTTGGGCAGCCGGCGGGCTGGGAAGATATTCAATGACAGACACCAAAACAGCAGTTGATAATGGAAGCCACATGGAAAACAAGGTCATCATGATGTTTCTGGGATCACGCGAGCGAAGAATATAAGGCGGAATGGTGATGTTCAAGGACTTAGTGATCTTCTCCAACAAAGCTGGATCGCTAATATAGCATCAGTATCAAAACAACTTCCAATCTCGACTAATGCAACATACCCTTTGCCTTTCCCTCCACCAGTTGTAGCTTCGTAGGCAGCCCAGATACTGTCTAACACCAGTTGAACAAACATTGGCTTGAGGGCACGGCCTTTCAAATGCTTCGGCCCCAAGACACGTTTCGTCTTAGGGTCAAGGTAGAAGTCTCCCCATAGGACTTTCTCAAGAATCGACCGTTTGATTCCTAGTTTCCTCTCGTAGAGAGCGGCAAATTGTCGAACAGTGAAAGCCCAGCCATCGATGGCACTACAGAAAATGACATTGTTTTTCTCCGGGGCGAAGTAAATTTCCTCGTCATCCTTTTCCTCAAATTCCGCATCTTCGATGCTGCTCATGTTTGCCTCATCGCCTTGTTCCTGCTTCTGAGCGGTTCGAGCAGCGGAGGCATTAATCCGGTCTTCCATGCGCTCTCGCCACTGGAGGTCTTCCTCCATCCGTTCACCCTGGTAGAAACTTCCGATGACAGCGTTGACTTGCTCTAAAAGTCTGCTCAAATGAGAGTAAGCTTCACTGGGGCTCATTTTCAACTCTCCCACCAGTCTATCGATCTTGTTGATGACCAAGATCGGTTTGAGCTGCTCGACCCAGGTCTGACGTAGCACTGTGACAGTTTGACTGCAGACGCCCTCAACGGCATCAACAAGAACTAGAGCACCATCACAGAGCCTTGAAGCTGTCGATACTTCGCTGCTGAAGTCGATATGCMCAGGCGAGTCGATCAAGTTGATCAGGTACTCTCTGGGCTGAGGAGCAGCATCAGGAGACGAGCGACGCATCATGGAGAAATACAGGGAGATAGCCGACGACTCCATAGTGATTCCTCGAAGCTGCTCATCTGGACGTGAGTCCAGATAGCGGATCTTGCCCGCCAACTTCGGGGAAATAATGCCATTTGTGGCGATAAGACCATCCGTTAAGGAGGTTTTCCCATGATCCTAAGTCATCGTCACAATCAGAATTAGAAGCGCTCAGGCACTCAGTTATGCTGTAGAGTACTCACAACGTGGGCAAGGATACAAATCTGCTGTCTGGTTAGCGCTGAACAAGTAGAAAATATGACATCAAGGTGGGATGGAGGGGTAGCTCACATTTCGTATGTCCTCAGACCTCTGTTGGAGACGGACTAGATCATCTACATTAACGACAGGCATCTTAAAGGACCATCGAGTCTATCAAATTTTTCCAGGTTTGACAACCAGAGAGAGTCCTCGTAAGATGAACTTTAGGGCCGGTTCCTCGGTGTTCCGCTGTCGCGGAAACGGGCAAAAAAATTATCTTCGGATAATGTGAAGTCACAGAGGTTTCAACATCACCGATGACAACACACCAAGGAGAGCTCCGTAACAATTACTTGACAGAGGTTCTAGGCGAGAGACATGCCTTCACCCTGTTGGTCAAATGGTGAACAGGCCTACTGGGTTTACCAATGTACAACTATATATCTACCTGAAACTGCATTAGCAAGGTACTACACTCCATTATATCATCATCTAACGGGCGTTATCAAGAACTAAAGTATAGCATGTTTGCCTCATTCATCGAAGGATAGCTTGATCTTCTTCTTCTTCTTTTGTTTCTGCTTTGCTTTCTGAGGTCCAGTGTTCTCTTGCTGCGTGTCATTCTCGGCTTCAACACTATCATCTGCAATAACTTTCGCCTGTTTCCTCTTCTTTGGGCCTCCTATTCCAGCCAAATTCTGCTTTGACGCTCCCGCGACGTCGGGTTTTTCAGTGTCCTGTCTCGACTCATGACCCGACTGTTGTTCAGATGACTCCTGTTGTTTTTCGTCACCGCGTAATAGTGCCTCATATTCTTCCTTTGATATCACCTCG